ATGAGATGCTGTAGGTAGAGCACTTGGTACAGTGCCTGATTTTGTGTGTGTGTGTGCGTGTGTGTGTGTGTGTGTGTGTGTATGTGTGTATGTTAAGTACAGCCTCTGATACATGCTATTCATTGACCCCTACCTTGCCCAGCCATTCAACAACTCAACTGTACAGCTGGCCAAAACCATGGCTTACTCATTCAACAACTGAACTGAATAGCTGCTCTATATACCACAGACTAGCCATTTAACTCTAACTATACAGCAGCCTACATATACTATGGCCTAGCCATTCAATGGCCTAACATATAGCATCCTAGCAACCTGGACATACTATAGGCTAACGCATGCATGCATGCACCCAGGGCTAGTTGTACTCCTACTAAACATCTGAGTGCCTGTAGTGGAACTGTAGAGCAGGTCATTCCCTCCACTCGTCGTATTTTACTGGTTCCAATGATTAATTCAGAAATATAGGTTAAGAAGTTCCCATAGGCCATCCCATATTAGGACTGAGTAAGATGAGTGTACCCCCATACCTTCAGGGGGCTTACAGTCCTCCCCACCGCAGCTTGCTTTAGCATCTGAACTTTAACATTCCCTGGTACCCATGACTGAAACTTACACCTTTGCCAAGTGAGGTCCTAAGCTTGTCATCCATTCTTGGCATAGGAGGTCTGAACTGCCATAACCATGAGGAGATAAACAGCACCCTACCCTGTCACAGAGAAGAGGCCTCTTCTACCATGGGGGACTGCCCTTCCAAGGACAAAGACTTGACCTGCTCTCTAGAAAGAAGCCAATGTCCTCACAATGCTCCCCTGACCTGGCTGACCTTTTCTTTCTGTACTTCTGAACATTAGCTTACGGATGGGTGGGGACTCTCAGCTTTCTGCACTTTGCTGTCTTGTAAATATAAGAACATCTCTAAAGTAGAAATGAAAAGGGACCATTTGTAAAAGGGGCCATGAGGTTGTAAGGAGAGAATTCCAGCTGGAAGCCGTATCTTCCTCTCGAATGCTGAGTGTGTTCTCAGATGTGACAAGAGCTAATTTTTGAGAAAAGATTCCTGAAAGAAAATGATTATGAAAACCGTCAAGATATCGGTGTTGCACCATAGCTCACATGCTAAGTCTCTGTTATGTCAATGTTAAGATAAATACTTAGATTTGAAACTACTCCAGACAGCTCTTTGGTACACACAAAAATAGTGTTTCTAAGACTCAGGAAACCTGGCCAGCTAAGGGTTATAGCAGACACATCAATCAAAGTGCTTAAAAAAAAAAAACAAAAAAAACCCAAAACCCTCCATTCAAGAAAACTGGCAATAAAGCCTGTCAACTGCAGGGCTGGAGAGTGACATCATTAAGGCGAAAAGGCCTAGAATTAACCTCTTTGCCCTTGAACAAAATAGGAACTTAGCTGTGTTAACCTCATGCTTCAGTGTAATGCTCGTTTGCAGCAGTGTTTACATTTCATAATTTTATGTGACAACGTGTGATAAATTGTGCCTTTTAGAAAATGTGATTTTTCAGAACAATTTGAAGGAGAATTTAAACACTCTTTTGTGCTAGTCTGAACATTCCTAAGACAAAAGGACTCTTTGCTTGTGAATTAGCATCTAAGCTGAGGAAACCCACCAACTTCCCACAGGAGTAAGGCAGTCAAAATAATCTCCAGCAGTGGGTCAATTTTCTGTGCAAGAATGGAATTTCTCCAGGAGCTGGAGAAAGGGTGGGAATGGAACAGAGGTAGTATCAGTGGACACAGAATGTCCCCTGGAACAAGGACCCTCCACTGTGCAGTAACAACTTGAGGGTGGCTTTGGAGGGAGGGAAAGCCGCACTGGGCCTAGCGTGCTGGTAATCTTGCCAGAGCTTGTCTTGGGGGAAAAAGTGTCAAGAACTTGGCAGTCCTGTCATTTAAACTCTTGCTGAAAACATGGGAAGGTCTGATTAGGGACCATTTTTCCATTGGGGCCTAGGGACAGATGATTTGCCTGATGGGCCTCATCCCTCCCCATTGCCATTTATACCACAGCAGCTAATGATGGCAGATAGCAGTGAGTTTAACAGACGGCTCTGCTTAAGCGATGCCATTATAATATTTCAGATGTACTACATTAGGGAAAATATGCCTTCCCATTCTGTAACCAAAGCTTCCTTTTCACACAGAAGAATGATGCACACTTTAACATTGATGTCCTTCACCCCTCTGTCCTAAGTCTGTTACAAATATACTACTGATGGAGATCCAGGATAAATGTAGTGATTTCTGTGCATTTTAGCTAGCAGAGGATCTGCCACTGCCTTGAGATTAAATCGTTTTGGATAATGTTCTCTTAATTGGCAACAGAAGGTTTTTGCAGCCACAAAAGTTGTAGCGAAAGCTTTCCGATTATTAAAAGTTGAAGCCTAATCACGAGTGGAGGCAGGGAACCTGCTTCATAATTACTGTGTGTCAGGATCTACGTGTATCTTATCTGATGGAGAATTGCTGTTCCTTGCCTTCAGATTCTTTCTCCCTTTATGGAACTCAGGAGGGCTACCCGAATCCTCCAACCCTCTCCTGTCTAGCACACCAGGCAGAAAGAACAAATGGCCACAGGGCCCTCAACCCACGGCAGGATCATATTTTCCAAGTGTCCCGAGACATCTTCTCATTATTTTCCCTCCCTACTGTGCCTGCCATCGTTTCCCTTGACAGACAAGGCTTCCCATCTCTTTTTACCAGGAATGAAACATTTTCATATAATGAAGGCAGGTTCTGATCTTGTGAATCGTTCTATTTAACTCAGTAGGCTCACCTTCTGAGACCTACTGTGGCTTCCTGAGGCCACTGAACTATAAGGCAACATGAAGCCATGTGGCATAGGGGGCATGGGCCTGAGGCCAGCAGTCTGGCTCCTTGTCGACAGCACAGGGCTCTGTTTTCCATATCTAACCTCCCTCACTCTGTACATACCCCACCTTTGTCTATAGATACAGAAGTATTGCCTCAGGCAAATTCTGAAGTGCTGTTATTATTCTCGTTCTTCTGTTGCCCATCCAAGCTGATGCTCACTGCAGAGAAGCCGCATAATGGCTATTCCCAGGCAGAGCCAGAAAAAGCAGCCTTTCCAAGTGGCTTCTGTAGCCTTGGGGTGGAATGCTAAAGGAGTCTTCTGGTATTAGTCTTGGGATCCTTTCTTAGAGTTTTTGAAACTCTTGAAACTTCCTGTGATGGGATTGTTCTTGTAGTGGAGTAACTCACTGGCCCTACATGGCTTTAGGTTGAGGACTTAAGAAAGGCCAACCCTGTGATATTACTAGGTTAGAACTTGGCCTTAGCCTCCAGGGACGAAAGGAGAGCTGGGGATTGAGTTCACTCTCATAGCCAGTAATTCATTCTGCCACACCCACATAATGCAACCTCAATAAAAACTCTAGCACTGAGGCTCAGTGGAGCTCTCTGACTAGCAAAGTTTTGATATGCCAGAAGGGATATCCTTCCAGCTAACACCTTTTGGATATCACATACTAAAAAAGTAAAACCAGTAAGTATACCACTTTGCTAGTCATTAGTTATGCTAGTCATAGATTTTTGTTAATCATTCTAGAAAATTATCAAACCTGCTTGAATAGCTGAACCATCAGAATCATGGCCCATGCAGCTGGCTTCTGAATTGAGGGAGTCTTGTGGATATGGACCTCTAAACTTGTAGGATCTCCACCAATTCTAGGTAGCAAGTACATTGCAACATGGACAGCTGTAGTGGAGATAGAATAATTATGGGTAATGTTCCAATTTCCATTAGATTATAAAATGCTACAAGGGCTCCTAGACTGTTTTTGTTGGACATTATAATTTGAAGGAATGAAGCACTGTCTCCTGAATGGATGGGTTAGTCAAGTGACACAGAAGGTGCCACTCAAAGCATGGTCCCAGATTGCACTGTAGAAAACTGCCCATTACCTAACTTCCTAGTGAGATGTGAGCACACTTGAGGAGCAAGCATGTAGTTTTGACAGCAACTGGGCATTGCCTTGACATGCTAGCACAGAAGGAAATGCAAAAATATATCAGAGAGTGACAATTGAGGAGAAAATGATCCTTTACTGCAGAGAGCTGAGAATCTTAATTTAGAAAGTATAACTTCATTTGGTCTGAGCAGATGGAATCAAAAGTTTAGTCGGAGCCCTGGAATCAAAATGGGTTTGTGTGAAATACCGCTTGCTGTCTCTCTGGTTTTGAGCAAGTTACTTTACCTCTCTGGGCCTCAGTTTTCTCATCTCAGAAATGAATATACATTATTTTCTGTTTCATTCAGTGCTAAAAATACCAAAGGATGCATGCTAAGTACAAGGCCTGGAACAAAGCAAGTTAACTGCCAGTATTATTTCTTCTAGGTTTACTTTGTGACCCTGGTGATTCAGTCTTGGTTACAGAAAGTGGATGGTGTTCCTTGGGGGCACTGTTGAAGTCAAAGGGCACCCTGCAGAGCATTTAATTGGAGCCATAGTCCCTGAGCTCTGTTTTCTACAGTGCCACCAATGGTGGACTTCTGGTGTATTCTAGTCAGACAGACCATGAAGAATCAGACAAGGTTTTCACTCCATAGAAATGGGTATCAATGACGCTTGTAAAATCCATGGGCTAAGACTCTGACCTGCAGCAAGCAGATAAGAGCAGCCAAACTGCTTCGTTTGCTGCTTTGCTTCACCAAACTAGAACTCCACAATGTCCATTGCAGAAGAACGTTGCAGAGATTGGTTCCCACAAGCAGCCTCATGACCTTGGGAAAGAATTTTATCTCCCAAGACATCTCTTGCTGAGATGGTGCAAACTTTGACTTTCAGAGGTCAAGAGTCAAGGAGTTGGAGAAATGATGTTAAAATTCAGCAGTGTCTGATTCTGGTTTCTGATGCCACTTCAAGTCTACCTTACATCGGATGCTGCTCAAGCTGGGCTGCCCCCAGCAGTGACTGAGCAATGTCCCAGATTAACTATGGTACCTGTCTGTTTTTCAGGTTCCTCCTGCCTCTGAGTGCTTTAAGACACGAAGGTGAAGTGCTGCTGGTCCCAGAGGTCTGCCATGAAACCGCATTTGAAGCAATGGAGACAACGAATGCTCTTTGGAATATTTGTTTGGGGCCTCCTGTTTTTGGCGATTTTCATCTACTTCACAGACAGCAACCCTGCTGAGCCTGTACCCAGTTCCTTCTCCTTCCTGGAGACCCGTGGGCTCCTGCCTGTGCAAGGCAGGCAGCGGGCCATCATGGGCGCTCTGCAGGAGCCGGCTTCACCTGGGAGTTTGGATGCAAACAAGGTGCTGCCAGGAGGCCACCCTGCCAGCCCCTTCCACGCTGGGCCTGGGGACCCACAGAAATGGGAAGAGGCCCAAGATGGGTTTGAACATGGAGAAGAGTTTTTTGCATCCCAGATTGGAAGGAAATCTCAAAGTGCTTTCTACCCTGAGGATGGTGACTACGTTTTTGCTGCTGGTCAGCCAGGGTGGCACAGCCACACGCAGGCGGCACTGGGCCTGCCCTCTCCTGGGAAGCCACCCCGGCGGGCCGGACCTGTACAGCGAAGAGGGAAGCAGTGGCACAGAAGGCCGGGAAGAGGCCACAGGCCTGAGGAGGCCGAGGGCAGTGACCGGTTGTACGCCTCCATGTCCAGGGCCTTGCTGTACCGACTCTGGAAGGGGAACGTGTCCTCCAAGATGCTGAACCCGCGCCTGCAGAAGGCTATGCGGGACTACCTGGCTGCCAATAAGCATGGGGTGCGCTTCAGAGGGCGGCGCGAGGCTCGGCTGAGCAGATCTGAGCTTCTGTGCGAGCTGCGAAGGCGTGCGCGCGTGCGCACACTGGACGGCACGGAGGCGCCCTTCTCAGCGCTGGGCTGGAGGCCGCTTGTTCCCTCGGTTCCGCTGGGCCAGCTGCACCCACGGGGCCTGCGCAGTTGCGCTGTGGTCATGTCCGCGGGCGCCATCCTCAACTCCTCTTTGGGGGAGGAAATAGGTGGGTTTCATGGGGTTACCCGTTCTTGAGATCTTTTTGTGCCAGTAATTCTGGCCTGCAGGCCAGGGTTGCCAGGTACAGTGGGCAACCCTCATCTCCCAGAAACCATGGTCTGCAGGAGCAGACCTCCACGAGGGGCAGAGGCTTGAGGTGGAAATATGGGGGAGTGGGGGTGGGGGGACAGAAGAACAACTCAGGAAGATGCCCAGTCAGGGGTCTCACTTCAAAGAGGAAGCGCCATGATGGTTTTAGCCTTCTAAGGATCAAACCCAAGTCCAAGGGCTCGTGGCTGCTGCAGAACACATAGTTCTGGAGGGCTTGCTCAGCCCAAGCTTGTGACCCATGCACATAGTGGGGACCTTCTCCAGGATGTTGAGCCATGTAACCATGTTTGGGCTCCTGTCTTATGTGCTATATTTCCTTCAAAACCTTACACCTTTGAAAAGAATCTTTCATGGTTCCGGTATGGGCCAGTAGGATATGGAGAGAAATGGAGGGAGAGATTTAAAGAATGTGGCTCGGGCTGGCGAGTTGGATCAGTGCTTGAGAGCCCTGGCTGTACTTGCAGAAGACCAGGGTTCCCTTCCTAGCACCCACATGGTGGTTAACAACTGTAGGTCACTCCAGCTCCATGGGATCCGATGCCCTCTTTTGGCTTCTGCCAGCATCGTAGGGCACAGGTACACTTACATATATTCAGACAAAACACTCATAACGCATAAATATTTTTTCTTTTTTTTGTGGTCTTTTTGAGACAGGGTCTCTCTGTAGCCCCAGCTGTCATGGAACTCACCATGTAGACCAGGTTGGCCTTGAACTCACAGAGCTCTGCCTGTCTCTGCCTCCCAAATGCTGGGATTAAAGGTGTTCACCACCACGCCTGGCTACATAAATATTTTTAAAATAAAAAAATATAAAGGACATGGCTCAGTGATTGGGGGCCTGCAAGTCTGAAGGACATGTTAACAGGTTGGTAAACTCACGCAAGCTTTTGTGCTGCGTTGTTGAGACAGAGCCCCTTCCTCATAATACTTCTGTGTACATTCTTAAGGCCTTCAACTGGTTAACTGATTAAGTAATCGGATTTCCTCAAAATCTGGTTTAAATGTTGATGACATCTAAAAATAAATCCTTTACAAGATATCTAGACTGCTGTTGGATCAAACAACCAGGTGTCATAACTTAGCTAAGTTGACAACTTTAACTGTCAGTTTTCAAGTAGGATATTGGCTAGTGTCTTCTAGAGAAGAGCATGGGGTAAGGCTGAAATATATTTCCCACCCTCAGAGTCTAGGTCCTGCCACAGATGGACTGACATCAGCTCGCCACAGAATTCTCAGTTCTTAATGGACAGCATTCATTTTCCCACCCTTCTGTGCCAGAGGAGGTATCTGCCTTTCTGCTCTGCCCTGAAGCTCTTCTTTCTTTTGGCTATTTCAGATGCTTTATTCCGGGTCCTCCCTGATAAGGCTAATATTCTGTTGCTGCCTCAGTGAGCAGGCAGTTTGGTCCTTAAGGCTGTTCATTCATTTTCAGAAGTGCATATTTTTTCCCAACTATGTGTTTGGTTCTGTACTGGGCACAGAAGACAACTGTAGCTCAAACACAGCTTCGGCCTTATGCCAAACAGTCTCACTGGCGGTGGTGGTAGGACCTAAATAATTGAGCGGAAGTAGCATTCAAGGGGCAGTGCTCCTTCCTTACAAAGACTGAATCGCTGTTTCTGACTTCACTTTAAGCAGATCCTTTGGTTCTATGTCCTTTGTCCTGAAACCAAGTTGGAAAGAAGTGATACCACCATAGGCCCAATAGAAACCCAGACTTCAGCTCATCTGTTACTTGGAATGAGGTTGGATGGAAAAAAAAATAAGTTAAAAACCCAGGTCAACAAATCTGGGCTTGTAGTGTGAGGTCCCTGTGTCTCCATGCTGACATTATTGCAGGCTCATAGTAACACTGTCCATGTGTCACATAAGCTTGTAGCAAAATCCAGACCAGAAAAGCCTGCAATTTATTAAGAAAGAACAGTGGTTTAGAGGTCCCTGGGGCAAAATAACACCACAGCTCTTTCTCATTTCCAAGGACCGATATTAATAATGCAGAGGAGGAATTTAAGTATTATGCTTTGAAGCAGGCAGTAACTTACTTCTGGTTTTGTTTAGTTTTAAACACCTCTGCATCGTAAATATGTGCTATTTGAATGGCTCTTGCGTGCCAGAGAGAATTCTCTTGCTCCTTGTTCCTGCATAAATAATCATGACTAGAGCCTTTGTAAACTTTATTCAATATTTGGAAGAGAGTATGGAAGATACTAAGAAGGCCAAGTTCATTCCACTGTTACATATTTGTTAATTTCTACTATTCAAATTTAATTTCAGCTGTGAGGCTTCATGATTAGAATTGTAAAGTAACAAACGAAGAACATGCCTGAGGGTTTAGGGATTGGTTTGTTCATTTGGTTGGCTGATTGGCTGGTTTTGTCCACTTTTGTCTAGGTTCAGATTTTGTGTCTAGTATTTTCAGGACTTAAACCCACACCATCACTTAGTGTATATGAACAAAAAGGTCTTCACCTTTCTAAACTAGTGTCTCAAGATCATTGCTGTTCATGCTAGGTGTGGGTAGCAAACCCACATGGTCATTAATGGCTTTCACTATAAAAACAAACTCAGAGCAGATCCTTCAGGCACCTTGGAGTACTGGGACACACTGAAGCCAACCTCAAGTTCCTTCTCTGGATTGGCTAAATGAAGATCAAAAGAATTACCAAAAGTTATAACATGATGAAAATCTTTAGGCCTAACTGAAGGTACATAAAATAGCCATGTGTCAGTCCAACCTTAGCTTTGTCAGAAAGACCCATCAAGCTGAGGTCCCCAGGATGCAACAGCTCTTTTTTTTTTTAGCTTTCAAAAATTTTATTGAGAATTTCATACATGCGTATAAGGTGTTTGATCAAATCCATACCCACTCCCTCCCCTCCAACTCCTCCCAGATATCCCCATCACTTTTACCTAAACAACTTCGTGTATTCTTTTTTTTTAAATGGGGTTTTTGCTAGTCTGACATCCCTCCTACAGAGGTAACCCTAAAATCTTTTAGGGATTAGATAAGAGCTTCCAAATTCTTTTGACGTTTTTGGCCTTTGGAACAGAGTATTGCTAAGAAGCCCAAAGACATTTTGATTTTTAGCCAAGAAACTGGCCTCTTTCCTTTGGGGTCTTTTTACCCTACATGCCTAACCAATTCCTACCTCCTATTATCACACCATCAACAGCTCTTTTTTTCCACAGGGAGACCCAGTTAAGCCTCCTTTTGCTGTTTGGCTCCTTTTGGCTCCCCCTGGTGTTTGTTCCTTGGACAGTGCAGTCCTGTTCCCTAGGCTCGATTCTGTTAGAATAAGTCATACAGAGCAATTGTTTGGGGGTAAGAAAGGTATAGTGGTTGTAATGCCTCTGTTTTGAATGTGGTATTATAAAACAACCTGAGCTGTTTTGAAAACATGGAACTTACTTTCCTAGAGTTATAAGATATCCAGACTTGTGTCATCCATACACCTGAATAATAATTTGAAGGTCACTTAGGGCAGAACTGTGTAAATATACTAGAGAAGGAAAGTCTGTGAACAGACAGTTGCAGTCTTGATGTGGAAGTCCAGGGTCTGTGGATTGGACACCTGCTTTCTGTCAAGCATGTGGAAATGGGAGATAGGAGACAGGATGTGTAGGAGGAAAAACCCATAGTAGGTACTAGAGAGAGCTTGGGATTTAGTAAGCTCTGTTACCTTATATTTCAAAAGCCAAGAAAGCAGTTCATGTAGTGATTCAACCAGTATAAGATATTTGTTGGTCACTAGTTCTCCAGATCCCGTGTTAGACAAAAAGATAAATAAGTCACAGACCCAGACTTCAAATTCTATGTAGCCCTCAGGAGAATCCAGACTATAAACCGACAATTCCAATATCCTGTGGATGGAAGAAGGGCAGAGAGATACAAACAAGGTAAAAATGACAGCAGAACCCTAACCCACCCGGAGTACTGCTTATTGGTGGACAGAAAGGAAGGCAGGAAAGGCTTCTCTGAAGAGTCCAGTCCCGGCCAAGGGCCCAGCATGGGGTGGTATGAAGGTGGCAGGGCTTCAGTGAGTACGTGGGCCAGAGGGAGGTGGCAGAGAAGCTGGCTAGGAAGGTAGCCATAATCTGGCACTGTTCTATAAAGCCAGACTCAATAATTACAAAAGTAGGTGCCAGCTGAGAATATTTGCTGTAAACAAAGACACATTCTTTTACATTTTAACTGCTGTAAGACCAAGGACCCTAAATGATAAATTCCCTTTCTAGATAGGAAATAGGCATCTAGAGCCCCCTTAGGCAGAGCCTGGATTGCATCTCTAATCTTGGTCTCTAGGAACTGAAGGTGGTGATATATGGACACAAGAAAATGGATAGACTTTTTATTTCTGAGACACCATTCCTGAGCCTGAATTTCAGGGCATGAGGGAAGTAAGTCAAAGGGAACTTGACAGGCCAGAGAGAAGGATGAGAATGGTAGGAATGGTAGAAGCAATTCAGTGTTCCTTCAGGCCGTTGACTGGTGACTGGAGGCTGTATGCCATGGCTCTTCAGTTTTCATTTTCTGATCAGCACAAATCAGAAGAAGGAAATACACAGGGCATGGGCCAAAGCTAGATGGTGATGTGGTAGTGGGACCTTCAGCCTGGTTGTTCCTTGAAGAATTCCTCCTTCAGTGCATAAGCTCAGCACAGTGCTACTCTGACCTGAAAGTGCCTTCTCTGGAATGGAACTTGACTTCATTCCTCTTGTGTTTGCTGTCTGATCTGCTCTTTTCTAAATACAAGCAAATGGCTTAGCTTCATAGGATGGCAGTACCAAGCAGTGCACAGCCAAGTGTGTATTTACCAAAAGCATATGGGAGGGAGAGATGCTTTCAGCCCTGCCTCCTTCAGTTCTGCTTACCGGCAGCTTCCACCAGGTTCAGCCGACACCATCATTGTGCCTCCTCTAAGCAGGTGGCCTTGAGACTCTTCAGACCGACACTGCTTCCCAGGGCATTTACTGCTGTCTGTCTTGTGAAGTTGTTGTAAGGCTTAGGATTACCTGTCCCATGTAGACAACAGGAATTTAAATGCCTGGGCGTTTTCAAAGGTGATTAATTAATTACTACTCAATTAACTTGAAATCCATCCACTGCATAAGACCATGGGTGTGTTCATCCAACCCTGACACAGAAGCTACGTCACAGGGCTTCCTAGAGAGCGCAGTTGGAGAGTTGCTGTTGCACTACTTCCCTAGCCTTTCTGCAAATCCCTCCGAACCCCTAACACACCCTCTGCTTGGTGTGCCCCCCCTTACCTCCTAACTTCTTGGTGGGTTGTCTTGTGTCACCACTTCAATAATGTAACCCATTTAGGGTTTCTAGGACCCTTTCAGGGTTCTACAAGGTAAAATTTTATCTCTAGTGTAATATCCATAAGTCTTTTTTCAAATTTGATAAAAGCAATAAGAATAAATCTGACTTCTAAACGTGCACCCGGGCAGTGGTACCCACAACATGAGTCATCATGGGAACTTTACCACTAAGTAGAACAGTAAAAAAGAGTGCCAGGTTTTCTATGAACAACCTTGATGCAGCAGTGAAAATGAGTACTTTAATCAAGTCTCAGTCCTTTGAGTGCAGGTATGTTTTAGATCCTGTGTGACACAGTGGAACAGTAGACAGCACGTGTGCTCATCACTATGGAGTGGGAAGGTGCTGTGGGATTGTGTTGGAAGAAAAACTAGCCATTCATGTCGAAATACAGTTTGTATTTGAAAACTAAAATGACAGACATACTTTAATTATCCAGAGCTGGATATTTAGTGGATATCTTCTCCAAAAGGACTTAAATGAGCCTGTCACTTTTAGGAAAATAACTGACAGTATTTGTGGCAATGATAAAATGCAATCATGAACTTGAAAGCTTTCCACAACTGAAAATGAGATGAGATCCATGGTGATATTAATCAATACGCCTTGTGGGCAATATGTAGTAGAATATACCAATGTTTAGACCGTCTGACCAATCTATTCACAGAGAATTTTCAAATGATCATTGTGCAGTAGGGCAAAATGCTGCCCATGTGAAAGCCCCATTTTAAGACTAAGAAAGATATGAATAGATTCTAAAGTAGCAGAAGTAGCTGGATTCTTGGATTATGCACATTCATTTCAATTTGTTAAAATATGCTGATTATCTTAGACACAAATGTGTTGCTCTCTACAGAGATGGCCTGTGTGGTGGGTATAGACAGCAGGCTGTGGGAAGAACCCTGCTTTGCATTTCATAATGAAAATCTGGGATTATCATTTTATTTGGATTGAAAGGCTTAACGATGTGTTTATCAGATGTCCTGTTACAATCAATGTTTTAACAAACTAGCACTTACCAAGTTTTGATGTCAAGAATATTCACAATTCTCTAGACAGACTTATAAAAATAGCCTTAATGTTTGAAAAATTGCCTTTATTTGTATGAGCAGAAGGTCAGAGAGAAAATGGTAGGAGTCCTAGAAATTGAACTCAGGTCATCCTGCTCAGTAGTAAGCATCTTCCCCTTCTGAGCCACCTCACTGGCCATAGAATTCCTTTTTCAGCATTGTGTCTGTGTTTTCATGCCCTTCCGTTAAAACAGCATCCTGCCACAGATTCAAGGCCAAAGCAGAGATGGGAGGCCAAGTGGCTTCTAAAAGGTGGCGCTGATGAGCGCGGCATTTACAGTGGCAGTCTTCTCACCGCTGTCTTTAAAAAATGTACAGCATTCACATTTTTCTGTAGTACTTAATAGTGCATTAAATAGCCCACCTATCATCTGTTTATCTATGTCTATCCATCCATCCATCTAGCCAGCCATCCAGCCATCCATCTATTTGAGTCCCGGTCCTAAGACTAAAAAGCACCCCTGTTCTGGATAATCAGATTTTTCTAGTCCAAATATTTGGACTTATTTTTGTGTGTATGGGTGTTTTGCCTGTGTGTATCTAAGTGCACGATGTGTGTGATGGCTGTGGGGGCCAGAGGTCAGCGAATCCCCTGGTATTGGAGTAATAGATGGCTGCTAGCCACCATGTGCGTACTGGTAATTGAACCTGGGTCTTCTGTAAGAGCAGCCAGTGCTCTTAACCACTGAACTATCTTTCCAGCCCCCAAATTTGGACTTTTATAACACACTAATAAAAGTAATAAAGCAATTCATTGCAGAAATGTAAAGACATGTTTAATTTGTGTAGCAAGTAACCAGCTCTTGCCTGGAAGTGTACAAATGATTTCCATCATCTCCACAGAGGGCAGATTCCCTGCAACTGAGAGATTGGCAAGCTTTTATTTTCTCTCTAAATATCCATTTAGTAATATTTTAGGCATTGTAGACTACGGGGTCTTTGTTTCAAAAACTCAGATGTGCCATTACAGACCATATGTACACACATGAACTCTGCACTTCTGCTTCATCTACTAAAACAGGTAGCAGGTCGTATTCAGCCTACAGATCATAGCTTGTCAGTGCTTCCAAAATTTCCCCCAAAGAACACTCATGGTGTTTTTTGTTTTGTTTTGTTTTGATGGTATGCCTGGGTACCCCTTAGACTCATTCATTGTGTTCCAGATTTGTGATCACTTTTAGTGCTTAAAACTGAAACCCTAGTTCTTTGGTGCCCAGGATTTGTCAATAAAGGTATCTTTGTAAACATCAGTTTAATGGGACCTGTGGTTTCTACTCTTTAGGGAGTAAGGACTGGGGAAAGAGCAGCAGGCTGCCACGAGGTCTTGTGTAGAATGAAGTCGTACAACAGCCATGTGCCCTCATGGTTCCTGGGTGCTGTTAGAAATCTGTTTGCTTCTTGCTCTCACACAGTCACCATCCATGCCAAAGTTAAACTTGGAATGTACACAGGATCCTTAAAAGCCAAAGATGGACCATAGAGAGTCCCGTTACTGCTTATTCACTCTGGTTTCAAGGAATTTTGAGACATGTTTCTAGTCGGCCTTATGCACAGAGATCTCCCCCCCCATTCCTGCCCTTAGTCAAATGAGTCCATTCTCTCCCCCTCACTCTGTCTTTCCTCACTGCCTCCATCACATGGGATGCTTGTTTTCACCAGGACTCTCTGTGTCCAGCATTAAAGAACTTAGGAAAGTCTGGCTGCCAAGTTGAATGAAGTGTAGCATGGATTCATTCTGCAGGTTGAGCAGAGGCAACTGCCACCGTGTGCCACTTACAATGCACAGAGCCCTGACTCCTGGTGACACCAATAATCTCTCCCAGCCTCCAGGGCTACTAAGGCACACCTCGGTTCTAAGAAAGCAGGGGTTCTAAGGTTATTTTCAGGGCTCCTTGACTTCAGCAGCAAGAAGCAAGACTACATGGAAATCATGACTACTTTTTCTTTTTAAACTTCCAGCAAAACTGATAAAGCCGAATTAAGGCTGTGAGAGATTAGATGCAGTTCTTACAATGACTTGCCTCAGAGGTCTATAGGCTAGGAAGCCCCAGTCCAGCAGCCTATGTTCCCATCAACTTTATCTGTTCCTGTAGATCTGCCTTCCAAATATTTTGAAACCTTCAGCGTAATGGCACTTGTAAAGACTATGAAAAACTATAGCTTCTAAATATAACTTAGGTAAAGCAAAATTGCCTGTAAATGACTTTGTATATAATTTGTCACTAACCAAGGGGAAGCATCCCAAGAAGTGTATCATTAGGTGATTTTGCCATTAGTGAACATCATACAGAGCACTTATAGTAAGATGGTTTCACTCTCACTAGGCAATGTAATCTGGGACCACTTTCATATCTGTGAGCTGTTGTTGACTGATGTTACATAATGCTATGTGGCTGTGTGTTTCCATGTTAGCCTCCCAGCCAAACTCTAATTCTAAATCTACAGTAAATTATTTAAATATATGTATATCTTAACTTTATTAGTGGTTTCTAATTAGCTTCCAATATTGCAAGATTGGTTTTGCTGCTTTTTCCCTAGATTATATGATTTCACAGAGAAAAAAAATTGTCACTTTTGTACCCTTAGATTCTCATGATGCAGTTTTGAGATTTAACTCTGCCCCTACACATGGCTATGAGAAAGATGTTGGAAATAAAACCACAGTGCGGATCATTAACTCCCAGGTAAGACCGATGGACTGTTTTCATGGGTCCATTTTGGAGGTAGTTTAACTGAATGAGTGAACAGAAATTCCTGGTTGGCCATGACCACAATAGTTCTTATTTCTGTGGATCTTGCTATCATGAAGAATTAGTGAAGAAAATGTACAAAGAAGGGGAGTTTAGATGTGATCTGGATAGGAGGAAAAGAATAAGATCAAAAAAAGGAGAATCAGATTACACATAGGAAAATAATATTTATTTATATATGTTTTTATTATCAGCTAGTATGACTCGTTTTGTGAACTGAAAAGAGACTGCTAAATGCAGATGAAATCGTAGCAATCAGAAATTCTGGGGCCAAAGGGAAGAGGAAGGCACAAAACCTGAGGGTTTGTACTATGTCTTTGAAACTAGTCTGTTATTTGGAAATTTGAAATCTAAAAATGAGTTGTTTAATGGAAAATGAAAACACCTCATTTCTTCATGTTCTTAATAAGAATGTCTTTCGAATTTATGGAAAAATTATACTCAGAATGAATCACAACAATTTCTAGAGTTTCAAAAATATGTAAAAAAGATGAGGTGATAGTGATTTATGGTGAATTTCTTGTAGAAGGAACAATTAGCACTCTGCACAGTTCACTGCTCCAGGCAGCCTGCAGTGAAGAAAGAAGCAATTACCATATCTCCTTAATTCATAGATGTCATAGGCTACAGGAGCTACCTTTTATTTAGTAATTTCTCAGAGAGAAAGAGAGAAATCCCACAAAATCAAAATATGTGTGACCTATAGGATATACCCTCACTTCAGAAATATTAAAATGTTAAGAAAAAATAAGATGTCTTAATAAATGTAAAATAGCTGTATCTTAAAGCTGAGAAACACTTAATGATAGCATTAAAAAGATGGGTACAGGTGAAGTTGATGGGTCCATCCAGAGCTGGGTAGGGTCTAGGAGGTAGAATTGGCTCTGACACGTTGGAGGCCACTCCCTAACTCTAGTCCTTGCCCATACCTGTCCCACATTACTATCAAGGGTACTGAGGGTGTTGAGGAAGGGAGCATGAATTGGCTGAGGAGTTACATCTTTCATGGGAAGGTATCCAGACTGCTAGAATGGTATAGTGCTGATAAAAATGGAAGACTTTGTGGGTTTTGTAATTTTTTTTTTTTTGGTCTTTTTTGAGACAGGGTCTCCCTGGAACTCACTATGTAGACCAGGCTGGCCTTGAACTCACAGAGATCTGCCTGCCTCTGCCTCCCAAGTGCTGGGACTAAAGGCGTGTGCCACCATGCCTGGCTAATGTTTTGTTTTTTAAGAAAAAAAAAAAAACTATAAACACTCTTCAAACACTTGGCATGTTGGTCCGGCCTCTCTCCTCCCAAAGGATCATATAAAACCTGAGCGTTGCTCTGGTTCCTCTTTTTAAAACTTTTTAAGATATACTTGTTAAAGCAAACAGTAGTTATGAAATCTTTTTTTTTTCCTGTGTGCTTGCAGATTCTGACCAACCCCAGCCATCACTTCATTGACAGTTCTTTATATAAAGATGTTATCTTGGTGGCTTGGGACCCAGCTCCTTATTCTGCTAATCTTAACCTGGTAAGTATTTCTTTGGTGTTTCCTTGATACCTTGTTCTGGTCAGACAGCACCTTTGATGAGTTAATCATTGGAGTAGGTCAGTGATTGAGCTTTGACAGAAAGAATGTGAAAATGGGTACTGATTCACACATGTATTTGCATACCATTTTGATACCCAGTGACAGTAGCACATCCATCTACTGCTAAGTTGCTTTTGCTGTGGAGGAATGAAGAAAAGGTGTACTCTATCTGTAGGGTGGTCAACGCACAATTTTTCCCATTGTGATAGGGTGATTCTAAGTCCTTTTAAAATAAACTAGTAATGACTCAAAACTGCTTATTGTTATTTAAATAAAGACTGTTTCTGGCTTTCTTTTTTTTGGGGGGGGGGTTGTTTTTTGTTTTGAGACAGGGTCTCCCTGTAGCCCCAGCTGTCCTGGAATTCACTGTGTAGACCAGGCTGGCCTTGAACTCTGAGAGATCCACCAGCCTCTGCCTCTGCCTCGCAAGTGCTGGGACTGCAGGCATGTGCCACCATGCCCTGCATGTTTCTGGCTTTCTTAAAGGTGACTCCCCTTTGCTTTTCTGAGTGTGTCAAACTTTATGGAGTAGTGATCAGAATACAAGCCAGTTGTAATTGGGATTCCCTGGCAAATCATTACCTTCCTAAGCAAGCAACTGGCTATGCTTGATGGAACGTGTCATGAAAGGCCAGTGAGCTTATTTTTCACAGGGCTGGAGAAGATGGATGATGTTCAGCCTAGTATTAGATGCCGTTGACCACAGGAGTGAGTATCCTTGACTTGATTTACCAAAGCAAATGAGCACTCAGTCTTCTTAAAATGAATGTGGGTGACAGATTTGCATCATTCAAGGGGTCAGTCTTCCTGAGAGCTACCCATGGTAGGTGGGGCCCTCAGGAGGAGTCTGTGGAGTCACTATCTTGATACTGAGGCTGAAATGATTACTAATGGGTTTTCACCAGAGAAGAAAATCAGATTTACCTACCCGGTATTTTTCAAAATCTTCCTATCAAAGCTTCATTTCCAGAAATGGAGGACACAGCCTCAGCAGCTGTATTTGAGAAACTCACTGGTCAATTCTCCCATGACCCCTCTACTGAGAATCGAGTATGATGGGGGCTGGGTAATTGTAGATTTCTTCTCAATACCAGGCTCTCGGATTTCAGCTCTGGAAACTTCTTTTCTATTTTTAATTCTCTGAGCATCTTTGATGCTGACCTTATTTCTTCTGTTGGAAGCATCCAAACACAGGTCATGGTCATTCCACCCTGCTCAGAGACTTAGCTTAGTAACAAGGAGCAAATCCAGTCATTCTCAAAGCTTTTTAAACCCTGGAATATTTTCTTCTGTGGAATGTTACTTGAGATTATCTGTCTGTCTATCTATCTATCTATCTGCTCTCTATTCTCTGTACATTGTGCTACCTATCTATCTATCAGTCTATCAGTCTATCTATCTATCTATCTATCTATCTATCTATCTATCTATCTATCTATCTATCTATCTATCTATCTATCTGTCATCTTATACCCATAATGTCTACTTGAAGAGAGCCTGGTGAACTAGGCCTATCTCCACACCCTCCCCAAATCCCACATATGGTATCACTTGCCACACTTCTGAGGTCTTCTGTCTTAACCCTACTATGTTAGATTTTCCATACAATATACCTGCAATAAACAATTATAAATTCTGAAATTAATAAAATCATACCTTCATGTGTCTGCCAACATAACAAGAAAGAGAGCAGTTACCCCAAACCTAGAGTCCCCATGTCAGTCTATCCTTGTCAATCTTGTAACCCTCCTCCCAGGCCAGATGGCACTGGTATGCTTTCTGCTCCTTAGGTGAAATTTGGGAAACTTACTTTTTGGTTTTTGGGTTGTTTTTTTAAATCTTTTTGAAACAGGGTCTCCCTGTAGCCCCAGATGGCCTGGAACTCACTATGTAGACCAGGCTGGCCTTGAATTCACAGAGATCCTCCTGCCTCTGCCTCCCAAATGCTGGGACTACAGACATGTGCCACCATGCCTGGCTGGGAAACTTACTTTTAAAATACAGTGTTTGAGGGCTGGAGAGATGGCTCAGCGGTTAAGAACACTGGTTGTTCTTGCAGAAGACCCGGGTTTGAATCCCAGCACCCACATGGCAGTTAACTGTCCATAACTCCAGTTCTAGGAGATCCGACAGCCTCTTCTTTCCTCTGCGGACATTGCATGACACGGGTGCAACTTACCTACATGCAGGCCTAACACTCACACACAAAAATATATATATAGTGTTTGAGTCCAAGGACAAGTAAACTACAGTATGGGCTAGGTCTGGCCACACTGACCACACGTGCATGTCTTCATAAAATGTTAATAGATGCAGCTGAAGACATGGCTCAGCAGTTAAGAGCACTCACTGCTCTTGCAGAGGACACAGGTTCAGTTTCTAGCACCCACATAGCAGCTAACAACCATCATTACTCCAGTTCCAGGGCATCTGACACCCTCTGCTGACCTCAGCAGGCACACAGGTACACATACATACAAGCAGGCAATATACTCATACACATAAAATAATAAATAAAATCATTAAATAAAAATATATGAAAATAATAAAATGTTATTGGAACCCAGTGTGCTCATCTGACATGCCCTACCTGTGACTGCTCTGTGCTGCTGTGGTAGAGTAGAGACCATGGAGACCTGTGGCTCAGAAAGTCTCAGGTGTTTACTGTCTGACCCTTTGCAGAAAATCCTGTTGACCCCATCCAGTCCATGTGTCTTCTTTTACTAAAGAATATGCATTATTCCTTGTTAGTGCTGGAGTGTTGATATCTCTGTGTACTTCCTCATGGGATCTTTCCTCTCTGCACAGTCTCAGCCCCTTGGCCTCTAAACTCCTCAGACTGTATGCTCCCTGCCTTCTTTTCACAGTACAGTCCTGTGTATGCAACTGATTTGGTTTTGTATTATTTGTTGTTGTTTTTTAGTGGTACAAGAAGCCAGATTACAACCTTTTCACTCCATATATTCAGCATCGTCGGAGACACCCAACTCAGCCATTTTACATTCTTCATCCTAAATTCATATGGCAGCTTTGGGATCTTATCCAGGAGAACACCAAGGAGAAGATTCAGCCCAACCCACCATCTTCTGGTTTCATTGGTATGTGTGTTAAAAATTAGAATGACAGGGCAGACAGCAGGGTGAGAACTCATTTACTAAATGTACAGTCATGCTGTATAGTATATGATAAGAGCAATTAGCAGGTAGTTTGTGATACTAACCATAAAAGAGAGAGAAATACTATATCTCATTTATTTATTATCCTGAGACAAAGTACTCCAAACTTCTAACTATGGCACAGAGCTGTCTTATTTTCATTCAGGATATGGTGAGTCAAAACTGGCCTGGCTGGGTGATTATTCTGTCCCACATTGCACTTGATGGCATCCAATAGCTGCTTCATGGGATGGTTGTACTTCCACATCAAGCCCCTTGGCTGAGATGGTCAAGGGCAGGCTCCACTAAGACTGCTAACCATGTGCCCACCTGTGGTTTCTCTTTCACAATGGTCCCCAAATAATTAGACTTCTCACATGACAGTTCAGCAAAGTAGAGAGTGTTTCAAAAGATAGGAAATGGAATCTGTCAATTTCTTCAGGCCTAGCCCTGGGGACTTGCATGATGTCATGTGTGCTAACCTGTTGATCAAAGCATTCTCAGGGGTCACTGCCGTCATGGAGAGGAAACCTGAACCCGAATCCTTAGTGGGAAGTGTGTTGAAGAGTCTATGATTCATTCTTACCCACTGCCAAATCCCATTCACATTGCTGATGGTTTGCCAGATAGAAGGAGCACATAATGTTATAAGATTACTGGTGAGTAAAGGCCATGGTGAGGCCAGTTCCAGTGTCTCAGGAGCTCTCTCCATGAGAGTCCACCAGCTCCATCCCAGCAATGGGATTATATTGGATAATCTCACGTACCTTGAATTGCTTTTTTCAGGCAGGCTTTGACATTCAGAGTTTGTAGATTTTTATCTCCTTTCTTCATCTTTGTTTTAGCTTTTTACCTCATTATTTCTTTGACATTACCTGTGTAGGTGATATTAAAGCATAATGTTAACCCACCCCCTCTCAATGTGAAAGCCTGTGACCTTCCCTGAGCTACACAGAGAGTGTCTGTTGATAGAGGGGATATTTATTGAGACAACGTGAGCTTAGTTTTAGATTAAAGATAAATAAGTATCCTCAAGTAAGGCTTGCAGACTTTGGAATGGGTTTATAACATTATAATAATGTGAAATATTTTGTATAGAATCCCAGAAAAGCCTTACAGTATGACTACATGCTGTTTTCACTAACCCCTCTTTTACTCCGTTCTGTTAAAGCCACGTCTTTAACTTTCTATTTAATCTGAAATCCCAAACTCTTTGTCAGGTATGTAGTTTTCTAGAGTCTTGTTAAATTTAGGGAAGGAAGCTTAATTTGGTTTGACAGTGTAACAGCAATGGCACAAGTTAATAAAGTCTTTTTTCATATCATCACCTTGAATTCATGTAACTAATACTTGATTAAGGCAAAAGCTTCAAAGCAGAATTGGGTGAGGAATGCTGTCAGCTATAATTACTATGACCTTGTATTTTTAAATATTCAAGGTCATAGCCACAGAAAGAAATTTCCTGCATGTCTTTGTTGAAAAAGAACTCATGTAGCATAGGGCTGTTTATTGAGGACTTGAAGTTTTCAAAGGCTCATGATTGCCTGTGTGTCTTCTTTTACATGAAGGAGAATTGCAGTTCATTGCTGCAACTGGTGGGTAAGTTGGGGTCACCTAGGTTTGAGTTGAAATTCTCTGCAACTTCCCAGTGACCTGGGGCAAGCTGCTTAATCCCTTCCTCTCAGTATCTTCTGATGAGAAATCACAAAAAAAGCCTTTAAGGATGAAGTCTTTGGCCAGGCTGCAGTCATTGTTATTTTTCTATCATTGCCTTGTCCAATGTTGCATCTGTGAGCTACATCTGACTATTTAAATTTCAACTAATTTGAATTCATAGCAGATGACATCTTTTTCTGAGGTCCTTGAGCTGTATTTCAGGTTCTCAGTCACCACACATTCCAGGTTGTCACAGAGTTGTGTAGGAGAGCACTAAGTTTTGACAATCAAAGGAGACTGAAGTACAGCAAATTGAAATGAAATCCTTAAGTTCCCAGGAGGCAGTCTGTGTTCTGTGAGTAGGGATTGAAGATACCACAGAAGACATGGTCAGGCTTCGTTATATTCAGTTACTGCCTTTGAGCCTCACTGTAGTTCATTGTATGAGACTCACTGAGAATGGACAGTAGCAACAACTTGGGCAACCCTTGCCAGCACTCTCTGAGTACTGCCTTACTGTAGTAATTTTATACTTTCTCTTACCAGGACAGGCTGAGAGCCAGTCTGTTCCATTATCTGACATTCTTAAATAGCCATGGAGTGATGCCAGCTACATCAGTCCATCTTACCATAAGGACGTTTATAAAATCAGTGTGGGTTTTTTTTTTTTTTTCTGTTCATCAAGCACTGTGTTCCAAATGCCCCTCTTTCATGCTTTAAGGGGCTATTAAAGAGTGTTGACTTGGTTTCTTAGTTTGTGTCATCTCTGAGTAACTTCCAATATCAGCTCCCAAACAAAAGAGGGATCGAAGGGATTAGAATGTTTGTTTGCAGTCCAGCCTCCTGCCTGAAAGCTGGTCAGCAAGGAGGTCCTCATCCAGAAAGAGCCTAAAAGAATGTCCTTCCGGAATTTGAGCTGTACTGCTTCCTAGCACTCTGCTGGGTAAAGCAGTAGGAATCATATTCTTTGCTGAGAGTCATCATTCATATGTGAGAAACATGTGATTGTTCATGCTTTGCAACAAACCCACAGCCTGAATTTTCTTATACATGTCCAGAAGTTTGCATATGTTAAATAGGAGAACTTTTAAAGCAATTTTAGATAAGAAACACATTACTTTGTGTGGAAATGAATCCAACGGGGGAATTAGGTTCTCAAGGAGATACTCCTGAACCCCCAAAATATAGTGCTGTTGGTCCTGTTCAGAGGCTCCTTATTGGGGTTTGAATTTATCATATAGATGGGTGACAGAAAGAAAAGGAAGCCACAATTATCAAGAGGTGCTAACTGATATAAATTGAGCACCTCCTTTATTCCAGGCACACAGCTGGGCCCCAGGGTAGTGAGGGAACCAAAGTTCCTGCCTCACTGGTACTTGCAGTGCAGCGAGATGGGAACAGACATTGCCCAGGCGCATGCACACAGCTAAACATAACTATAAACTGTGAGAAGTATAATGAAGGAAAGGGACAGGCCACATCAAAAGCTGAGCGGTGTCTGTTTTGAATATAATCATGCTCTTATTTTGGGCCTGTCACATACTGTATTAAAAAATTACAGTTTCTCTCCATACCCAAGGGTTCCATACTCATGGATTCAAACAGACACCAACTGAAAATATTCAAAAATAAATAATTTGTATCTTTACTGAATAGGAACAGACCTTTTTTCCATCATTACTCCAAAAACAATAAAAACTATATAATATGTATGTTGTTTTAGATATTGTAAGCCATCTAGAGATGATGTAAAGTACATGGAAAGGTGTGCAAAGGTATATGGCAATGCTATACCATTTTATAAGTGCCTTGTACCTCTTTGAATTTGGGCATTAGCAAGAGGCTCTGGATCCAGTCCCTCTCAGATACTGAAGAATGGCAATATTTAGTGAATATATTGCTTATTGGTTCTCAATAATTACCTCATCACCCATTAGGATCCATAATCCATTGCTGCAAATCAAACTTAGAAACTGAAAACAACAATCAATATTTAGGATCTTACAGAACTTGTGTGGGTCAGTGGTCTGGTAGCACATTGGTTGGATGATTTTGGCTCATAGTCTCTAAGACACTCATGATCACCAATCTCTGGGCCTCCAAGTTGTCCCACTTGCATGGCTGCAGGCAGGAGACCTTTGTTTTTCAGACTCTGTATAGCAGCTTGGACATTCATACAACATGATACCTGTCTTCCTAAGAGCAGGAGATCCAAGAGGAGTTGGGGGGAAGTGATGATGTGTTTATGATGTCATAAACAAGTCAGCATCTTTGATGTGAGAGGCATGACCAGTATGCAGGAACCATTGAGAGCCAGTTTGAAAGGTGGCTATCATAACCTTTCAAACCACATTATTGGCAGAGATTCTGAGTAAATAGAGGAGATTAGAATTTCCAGTTCTCTCAGAGGGTACTGATGCCAGACCTAGAACAACACTTTGAGAACTCCACTCTCAGCTTCATAAATGGAATGAAAGACACAGAGAACTGAAAAAAAATCTAGTCCATAGGTTCTGTATTGATAGATGTACCTACAAGGTGATGGGGTTGAGATACAGTGAGAAGATCCAGAATTCCCCTGTCATGCATTCCTCCTGATCACTTAATCATGGCCAAGTTTAAAGCCAAGTAGATAATTTTTATTTGTGTTTAATTTAAATAATATAGGTTTAACAAAAATATAACTCAGCTTTGTCTTTTGAAATTGTGTAGCATTGTCTTACATTCTAGTCCTACTAGATTGTTAACTATGAACGTATTCTTTGTTTCTTTCTTACAAATGGACAAAGAATATTCAAACATGAAGGTTATATACTTTATTTGCTTTTTAAGTTTTTGTTGACGTGTATTCATGCTATATAATGTTAGATAAGGATAATTTCTGTGGAGCCTGACATGTATTTTAACCATACTTTGCCTTACATGCCCCCTTCTCATTCCTGGCTGTGACTTGTGTCCTTTCCCTAGTCTCTCTTGCTTTCATGTATGTGATTTTTCTGAATCTATTTAAAAATCTGGATCCAGAAATCACAGGAAATACAAATAATAAGGACTCTTCAGAAGGATAAACAATAGTATATTCATACATTATAAAAGGGAATGTATCAGATCGGTTTACACAATAGAGGCTGAGTAGTTCAACACAAAAATGTTAAAAGCAAAGGTCTAAAGGAATTTCTGCTCAGTGTACCAGGCTGGCTAGTGGACCTAGTGCTGTTTATGCATAGGGCTGAACCCCAGGGTAGGGCTAAACCTTTTCCCCTGTGTTTCGGGATCTGTACACTATT